ATATCAGCACCTGATACTTTCAGTGACTGATTATTAACTAGAACTGCTTACTGTCTCGAAAAGTCAGATGGACAAACTAGAGCGCATTCAGAACGCAGCTATGCGGGCCATTTTGGGTTACATCAGAGACACCCCAGTGGTGTGTAAGCGATACATCCTTGGTTTACCGACTGTTGCAGGTAGGCACAAGGTGTTGCAGGCGAAGTCATATCTCAGGGTAGCTGCCGACACAGACCACCCTTTGCACGAAGCTCTGGGTGCAGTCAAGGGTCAGCGGCTGATAAGAGGGAAGTCATGGATGGCTCGGGCAGAAGACACAATCAGACAGGTTTGCATCCTTGAGAACATTAGGTGAAGAGAGCAGTGGGTCTAAGTGCCACCAGAACAGTCAGACTTGTGTAGGGTCATAATCACACTAAGTCGGGAATGCAGAGACTGACCAGCAGGTGCCACAGAGGTGGACATTCGGCAGTTAATTCAAGATAATGCTCTCTCAGAGGATTTGATCATTTACACAGACGGTTCAGTGGCAAGGAGCAAAAGAAGTGCATAGGGTTTCTTATCAGAAGTTTATGGTCGAGGTTTGGTGCAGGAGAGCCTAGCATATGACACTACAACATACAGCTTAAGAATGGAGGTGGAGGTGGTCACTTCAGCTTTCCGCTGGTTAGAGAACACGACACACATACACCTCGTGATTGTAACTGACTCAGAAAGCATGCTGAGGAAGATCAGGAAAGGCATGTTTCGTGCAGAGTGGTATGCTTCGCTGCGGAGGGCACAGATGAGCAGTATTGTCTGGATTTTTCCCCTCGGCTGACGCCGGTGTGAGAAATGAACAAGCGAACAGACTGGCTGGATCTTCACTTGGTGGAATACTGAAGCATGATAAGACAGACGTGGTTAGGGCCGTAATGGAGAGTGTATACAATTCGGAGTGATGCAGTGTAGAATGACGAGGGGTCCTGGTCGGTGTTCCACGCTCAGAGGAAAGGTTTAATCAGAATGCTACTGGCACCATTGGTATTGTGAAGATGGGGATGGAGAGCTTATGGGAACGCCCCGAGTGTTGTGATGTCGGTTCTTGAATCAATTAACTCAAGATGGATCCCGCACTACTGGCCGGTAGGTCTGAGCACATGAAAATAGTCTGTAGTTGACTTTTTGTTGTTGTTTTATAACAGTGAAGTATTTGGGCGTATATGTTAGTCTCATTCTCCTATAGTCTATAACAGCGTTTCTTAAACTTTTTTTCTTTGCCGCACCCATGTCAGGAAAACCATTTTTGCGGCACTGTCACATATCACTCCTGTCACGTGCCTGATGTAAGGATTTCCCCTTCAGAACTAACAGCACTCAGAAATAATTATGTTGAGTCGTTTGGCTCGTATTGGTCTAAGGGATCTCCCGTGGCCAATATACGCTCAACTTATTTCTGGAGTAGGGCAACTCAAGTATTGGCACTACAAAATATCTCTGTATATGAATACAATATTCCTAGGCACACTTGGCTGGACACCCCCACTATTTACTAGAGAAAGCCCCCAGGTTATGATAGTTCATTATCATAACCATGTTAACACATATAGTTAAGATTCATACACCCACAACTGCTAAACACTTAAAAAGGTGAAATAGAGACACCTAAGTCAGCCATGAAAATGAATGCATGTAATCAATACAGAAACCTCATATATATATATATATCTATATATATATATATATATATATATATATATATATATATATATATATATATATAGTGAAACAGATGCCAGATCTCAGTGGATGGATTTCAGAATACAATGACTAGAATCAACCAAAGTTAAACAGTCAGAAAGTCCTGGAGGAAGCACATCTTCATCATTGGACCCCAGTGGAGCTGTGGGGAATATATCATGTTATATGGTTAAACTGTAACTTATCCTCTTTCTATCGTTGATGCTTCCCTCAGCTCCTGATGATTCAACTGTCTTTGGAAATTCTGCCTCAACTGGATCAGATGGTGGGGAAGTACCTCACCATAGAGGACACAGCAAATGGATAGGCACTCAGCAAATTTCTCCCACCAGTCAGTTCACCATACTGTCCCTCAGCTACACCAAGCTCTGGTACTGTTAGACTGTTTGGGGTATATGGCATCCCAAACTGCCATATTGCACCCTAAAATCACTTGAAGGTTGCGGCGGCACCCCTGGCATATGCTCGCGGCATCCGTGTATGCCGCTGCACCCAGTTTGAGAGCCAGTATTAGACTAAAACCTCCTGTCCTAAGCTCGATTAGTGAATGTTGTAGTTCTAAACAATTGCTACTGTGACAACGCCACAAAAACATCCTTAAAATGGGCGTAGTGGGCGTTGGTGGGGGGGGGGGTGGGGGTCCGGGGGTCAGTCCCTCATAATTTTTAAGGGTGAAGGGGGAGCTCAAGAGGGCTTAAAGATATCAAGGATTTTATTCTCATTATGAATATATACTTGCGCTCCGACTTTCAAGGAAGCCCCCAATTAGTCGCCTCTTACGACATGCTTGTTAGAGATGCAGTGGGTTTATTCTTGTTTTCACTCACAGCGGGGCTCCGGAAACAACACGGGAAGCCCCTGTTGTCTTTGGGAATTATTTTTTTTTATACCACTGTCGAAACCAACGCAAGCCGCATGGCCAGCATCTGTGATCGAATCCGGCATCCCGGCATTACGAAGCGTTCGCATCGACTTAGCCACAGAGCGACATTGAGTGCAAATAATATTGAATAATACAAATTTCAATAACTTTTTTTTTTTGTTTTTAATTTTTTTATTTGTTTAAACGCATGTATTGGATTGCATGTATTTGTATTTCTGTTTACAAGTGATACCGTTTGTAAGTATTGTGTATGTTTTTGCAAATCCACTCATGATTCACATTAAAATTATTCATACATGCATCAAAATAAAAATCTTAATTGAACATCATCATCATCCTGTAGCAGGTCCTTTGCAGAACGTCGCTCTCATCACAGTCTGCCTGAAAGAAACTCGGTCTCTCGCCAGTTCTCCCGCCTCATGCACCTTCACACTCAAGAAGTCACTTATATCCTGTGCCCATCTTCGTGTCGGTCGACCCCTGCGCCTCCTTCCTGGTACCATGCCTTCTGCTATAATTTTTTCCAATCCGTCGTGGCGCTTTGTATGACCAAAATATTTCAGCTTTCGAGAAAGGATGCTGTTTATTAGCCAATCTTTCTTGTATTTCAGATCTTTTAAGATGTCTATATTTCTCATCTTCTTTGTCCAAGATATTCTGAGAATCTTTCTATAACATTTCAGCTCAAAAGCCCCTATTCTCTTTCTCAAAGACTGAGAGATAGTCTACGACTCACATCTGTATGGGTAGATGCATGCTCTTAAAATTCTAATTCTGATCTCCTTGCTGGTGCTTAACCATAGACCTTTAAGGCTGTTCAATCTTTGCATTGCTATGGCCATCCTTCTTTTAATTTCTGTCGAACAGTCTCCATTGTTATATATTTGTACATGTGTTATATACTGGTGGTGGAGGCACATGGATTGAGCTTGTCAAATCTGTGTGGTTTTTTTTCTTTCAATGTTTAAATTATAATCGTTGCAGTTTCCGAGCTTCACTTTTTCAATTACATCTTTTTTTTTAAAATTTGGATGTGGCCTTTAATAAAAGGCCAAACACCAACCCCTAAAAAAAAGCTTTTATTTTGATACTTAATTGGTTGAAAACAGGGTTTACAATATTTCATATACATTAACAAAAGCAAAAATAATAACATGGAAAAAATTAATAACGTGGTACCTATATTCCACCAACATTTGGAAGAGAATAGAACAAAGCAGGAGACAGAAAATGACAGGGGGTAAGGAAAGGAGGGGCCATTCATAATTATTTGTTTGTAGTGAGCTACAATTGAAGTGTAGCCTGCCTTTTTTTTTAAAGCTCAATAAGTTTATTTGTCTGTAAAAAGTCTGTATACAATAAATACCTGTCCACTGTATTGCACGTGTTATATTTACAAGCGTCTGCCGTGTGCGTATTTTTGTGCAGTAATATTTACAGATCGTTGCTTCGTGTTTGTATTTATTTGCATGTGTATGCGTGACTCTGCGAACATATAAACAAAGAGGCAAGAGGGGGCACGAAAACATAGCAGGCGGACAGGGCGGGGAACGGGGTGAGAGGGAGGAGACGGACAAGGTAGACAGGGCCACTCATTTTATCTATATTGCCTTTCGGTTAGTATCAAATGTTGTGAAAGGGTGAAACATTGGATATTTTACATTTCAAGCAATTTATGTTGGAGGGTGGGGGGGGGGGGGGCACAAAAGGGACTTTACGAAACTGTATACCAACACCAGAGAACAGAAAAGGACACAACCACATAGCAGGCGGACAGGGGCGGGATGCCGGAAAGGAAGATAGACAGGGCCACTTATTTTATTTACATTTTAGCTTCAATTATTTCAACATTTGTGAAAGTGATATTTGGATAATTGCTTCAAATATTTACATTTATAACCGAATGGAGAAGGGGGCACAAAAAGGGAATTTACGAACATCGCATCCAAAATTAAACAAAACTCTCGAACATATCAATTTTTTCCATCGGAGAGCAAAGGGGTGAGGTAAGGGGGTGGGGGTGGGGAGGGAGGAGCGCACACAAACAAGACTTTCGAACATATAAAACAAACAAAAGAGAAGAGAAGAGAGGGAAACGAAAAACACAGTTTAGCAGCACGGGGGCGAACAGCGTGAGGAAGACGGACACAGAGGGGGCCACTCGTTTTAGCTTTCTTGGTGGATAACATAATGATGCTAGTCAAATAGATATACACACAATTTTTTTTAGATTTCGTGTACCTTCATAGTAATTGGAACTTTAACAATGTTTACATCTGAGAGCGAACATGGTGAGGGGGAGGTGACACATTTTTTTTGTTACTGTTACATTTTTATTTTAGCATATCAATGTTGTCAAAACAATTTATCGTAGACCTCAGTAGGTAGGACCCTCATCATCATCTTCATCATCATCGTCATATTTTTCTCCATTGTCGAAATAGGCTTGGTTGTAATGTGTTTCCTCTTGTGCATCCTCTTCGTCATATTCTTCTTTCTCGTCACCTTCCCCATCTTCACCTTTCTTTTCTTCTTCGTCTTCTTCTTCTTTTGCCTCTGCATTCTCAGTATTTTCTAATGTTGTATCAGTCTGTTCCAGTTTCTCCAACAGTTTGGAAACATCCTCATTGTCAGCTGGTCTAGCAACTTTAGTAGTAGCTGTTGCTGCTCTGTTAACCTTCACTCGTTTCCTTGGAACCTCTCTCAGCTCATGGGGTAATCTAGTCCAGTCTGGCACAAACGCTGACCCACTATCCTTCAAACCAGGCTGGTATTTGTCTGAGTATAGATCAATGTCTTTAACCTTTTTTGGTGCTGTGATGTAGAGGAGACTTATTTGAAAAAAAAAAAAATTTTTAAACGTTTTTTGGTTGAAAACATGGTTTACAATATTTCATGTACATTAACAAAAGCAAAAATAATAAAATGGTAAAAAAATTATGACGTAGTACCTATATTTCACCAACATTTGGAAGAGAGAAGAACAAAGCAGGAGACAGAAAACGACAAGGGGTAAGTAAAGGAGGGGCCATTCATAATTTTTTGTTGTTGGTGGTTATAGCCTGTTATAATGGTAGCGATAATGATAGGGTTGCATCATATATACATTTTTTACAGAATTAAAAAAAAAAACAAAAAAACAAATTATGGGTGGTGATAATAATGAATGCTCAAACTAGCCTCACATCTCACCAGCGTTTGACAGAGAAGGAGAGAGGGAGGAAGAAAAGGGTGTCCATTAGATCATGAATGTCTAAAATTGTCTGTAATGTGTCTTACTGATGTGTTTTTTCACCTCTGATATTTCTAATCTGCATTCTAATATCACCCCCTATCACATCTTTCTCCCTAAGCACACAGTTAAAATCTACCCCTAATATAACATTTTTACCCCGATGTGAATGTGAAAGTAGACTGTCGAGTTCCTCATAAAATGCTGGCTGATGTCTATAATCTGAAGGTGCATGTATATTGACAACAGTATACATATGTGTGCCATTCCCCACCTGCACTATAGCTATTCTACCCTGGCTATCCCTGTTTTTTGTCTAGAATCTGCCACCTATCCGATGTCTGTACTATTGCTGTGCCCAGGCCGACCTGTTGGGTACTAAGACTAAAACATGCGTGTCTCAGTCCAAGGCTCATTGTAATGTATGAGGCATAGTCATCTGAGTGAATGTTTGTTTCTTGAATAAGTAGCAGATCTGGTTTGTGTTTGTGGATGAGCGATATGAGGTTACTAAGTTTTGTCCTCATACCGCGAATGTTAATACTGAGTATCCTTATGTCAGCCGCCATTTTGGCTGCTGCGTGAGTATTTTTTGTGTTCTTGTTTTAAACACATTTCTGTGGTCGTCGTATATTACCTTACACATTAGTCACTTTTCTGTCGCATGAAAGTCACTCACAAGATGTGGCGAAAAATCAGAAAAAACGTTTTCGCCGTAGTGGCTTGTTTCCATTGTTCTTCTTGTCCACGTCGACATTGTTTTTGTTCACCCCGCGCACCTCAGAGGGTGTGGGGTAGTCGCTCTTGTAGTTCGGTCGGGTTATAATTAGGGCTGTACCGAATAGTGATTTTCACTATTCGGCCGAATACGAATAGTGGGACCAACTATTCGGCCGAATACGAATACGAATAGTGTATCATCATCATCAGGTGACTTGCCGACTGGCGTGTGCGATCATGCCTCTCCACAATCTGTGATCTCCTGCAGCATGTATCATTTCATGTGATGTCGCATCTCCATGCCTCGCAACAAGACTGTCAAGAATCTTCTATCGTAGTCTTCCTCTATCCCTCCTTCCACAGATCTTTCCAGTGGTCACCAAATGTTCCATTTTCCATCTTCTCAAATTATGGCTGAAAAAGGACGACTGTCTCCTTCTGATGTCTGTGATTAGTTGTCTTCGGGCTCCCGCCTCTTTCAAAACCATCGTTCGCTTGGCCGTTCGTTCGATGTAATTTAAACGCACCTTCATATTCTCGTTGGCAATATCTTCAAATTTGATTTGGGCGAAGACACCCTGAAAAAACAAAAAATGCATGATCTCACCCTCTCTCTCTTTCTCCCTCTCTCTCTCTCTCTCTCTCGCACACACACAGACACACACACAGGCGCGCACACACACGCTGTACAGTTTGTACCACGCAACCGGGTCGCAGTTTCCCCCGCTACGACAACTATTGTGTTAATGGGAGAGTTTTTTCAGTCTATCACAGTGTGTGCAGAAGCGGGTGTAAGTTAACTACTATTCGTATTCGGCCCACCGCAACTATTCGGCCGAATACCGAATAGTTATTAGGTCCACTATTCGGCCCCGAAGCGAATACGAAGCGAATATTCGGTACAGCCCTAGTTATAATATCTTGTGAGGCTTCAGTAGTCGTGGACTGGTAGCCTGTGAGTGTTTCGCTGAATGATCTTCTCCTTTTTTTGTTGTTGACATGGAGATTTTCGATGTCTTCTCCCTGATGACACACACACGAGGCTTTGGGATGTTTGCATGTTTTTGAGAAGGCGGGTAGAAATTTGTTTGTTGGACCTGGTGTTGTTTCTATTGAACCATACTTGGCTTCGCTGATGTCTGTATTTTCTGTGCTGGGGCTCGTTGTGCTGGTTTGTGGCTTTTCTGTGGAGGTCGTTTATTTGGACATTGATTGGTCCAGTGCGAGTCCTCTTTACAAATTGTACACGCAGTACGTCGACCATGCATAGTTATCATCAGGCAGTGGAGGTTTCCCTCCTCCCCACCCATCACCATTTCTACGTAGTATGGAAGGGGGTCTGTTGGGTTGCATAGCCGTAACCACCTGTCAGTGCTATTCTTCAGTTTGTAGACTTCTGCGTTAGCGTCTCCAGAAAAATCTGCAGCAATTTTCTGCACCTCTTCCTGTTTCGCTGTAGTCAGTTAATTAAAGCCTTTGTTTTCTGTTTTCCGTAGTGCTCAGTAACAATGGAAACTTTAGGGTTTTGCAGCTCATGTCTCATCCCACGCAGACGTTCATAATGAGCCGATTTCGCTTCTGATGTCAAGGTAGCATACCATATTTTATGGTTTTGAAAGCGGTAGATGGATGAGATACCATTACCGATAACCCCGCACGGCCCCATTAACAAACTGGCCACAAACGCGTGATTCACACGACCTATTTGTGGGCCCGACACAGTAATTACCAACGTATCCGTGCTATGGATCGATCCACCTTCAAATGTTTTACTTGCCATAATATTGACGTGTTTAACACTATTTTGGCTTGCCATTTTCTTTACTTACTTTGTAAATCACTTTGAGAAATTTAAAAAAAAAAAAACACAAATGTTATCCACAGTCAGGAAAGTAATCCGAACGTCTGTAAAACGGATCTATGTTTGCTTTGTTTTTCAAATATTGACTAAGTCTAGTCCAGAAAGAAAACTGCGGATAGAGTCGTCTGGCGATCTCTCTGGCAAACCTCTACACCCCAAGGTAGAAGAGGAGCGACTAAGTAAGTCAGTAAGACTAAGTCTAGTGACTTCAAAAATGTTGAATTCAAATTAGTAAGCTACAACCAAATGTAGACTGCCAAAAATATATACATATATCTATATGTTATATTGATTACATATACCCACGAAATTCAGTCATTCAATGAGTTGTGAGCACAGTATAAACAAAATCTGCTTAAGTAGTTAAATTATTTTTGGAAATAAATATGTATATTTATTAAGACAAAGAAACAATTTAAATGTTCATATACTTATTTAAAGAACAATTAACGTGCGTTGAAAATTAGAAATTAATGTCAGTTATTTTTAAAACTGTTGCCAGATACTGTACTGTACTAAGAATATAAAAGTATTTAGGTGGTCTCCCTTGTGTAGAATAGTAAAACTGTTATGTCCCTTATAAACTTTTCCAATCTGATTCCCGTTAAAGATAGAACTGCATAGGTGTGATGATAGAGAGACGTTAATGTTGGCATTGTTCTGTGAGTGATTTTTGGTTCATGACACATCTTTGGCTCAGGCCAGTTTTTGTTTTAAGGAATAGAACGCGTTTTTTTTGTTTTTTTGTTGTTAGGGTACGAAAGCGCAGCAAAACATACCCAATTTTCAACACTTTATATCAAATAAAACCGTTCCGTACTGACTACATTATTAGTTGATAAGAGTTACAATATTTGTCCATTACAGTGCTGTACCATTTTATTTTTGTCTTGTTTGTTACGATGCTGTCGTAAAGGCTTCCAGTGGGTGCAGTTATGTCCTTGAGCAATTACTTGCTACCTCTTCAAGGCCTTTATTGTTAAAGTAATCAAACAAAAATCGACCTAATAATAATATTGATAAGCAGAGAGAGAGAGAGAGAGAGAGAGAGATAGATAGATAGATAGATAGATAGATAGATAGATAGATAGATAGATAGATAGATAGATAGATAGATAGATAGATAGATAGATAGATAGATAGATAGATAGATAGATAGATAGATAGATAGATAGATAGATAGATAGATAGATAGATAGATAGATAGATAGATAGATAGATAGATAGATAGATAGATAGATAGATAGATAGATAGATAGATAGATAGATAGATAGATAGATAGATAGATAGATAGATAGATAGATAGATAGATAGATAGATAGATAGATAGATAGATAGATAGATAGATAGATAGATAGATAGATAGATAGATAGATAGATAGATAGATAGATAGATAGATAGATAGATAGATAGATAGATAGATAGATAGATAGATAGATAGATAGATAGATAGATAGATAGATAGATAGATAGATAGATAGATAGATAGATAGATAGATAGATAGATAGATAGATAGATAGATAGATAGATAGATAGATAGATAGATAGATAGATAGATAGATAGATAGATAGATAGATAGATAGATAGATAGATAGATAGATAGATAGATAGATAGATAGATAGATAGATAGATAGATAGATAGATAGATAGATAGATAGATAGATAGATAGATAGATAGATAGATAGATAGATAGATAGATAGATAGATAGATAGATAGATAGATAGATAGATAGATAGATAGATAGATAGATAGATAGATAGATAGATAGATAGATAGATAGATAGATAGATAGATAGATAGATAGATAGATAGATAGATAGATAGATAGATAGATAGATAGATAGATAGATAGATAGATAGATAGATAGATAGATAGATAGATAGATAGATAGATAGATAGATAGATAGATAGATAGATAGTGTACAATCTATTTAAGTATTGTAGTTTCAATGTGGTTTTTATTTACCCTTTTCCACTTGTTTAGACGCTGTGGGCACATAGTGCTTGATC